CAATAAATTATCCTTTAAACGGTATTACACCATTCTGGCATCCTTTCTTGGGACTTGTGCTGAGCCCACCACACACAGAGCCACCAGGGAAGGTAGTTGAGAGGTGCTTTATCTTATCGGATGATCCAAAGGGAACCCCAGATGGACAGAGGTGCCCAGAGGGAAGCCCAGAGTTGTTAGACAAGTCCATAAGAGGATTCCATTTGAGACCTTGAGATGTGAATAGTCTTCTATATGCATATTGGAATTATGCGTCTGGTGAGTGTATAATTCAAATATTTGATCACCGGAAGACACACGAAGGATCACTATATCATATATTTAATATATAGACTTTGGCACTTTCTTCTGACACTAACCAGTCACCCATATATGCACTTTTATTATTGTTGCCTTGTTTATTTGATATCATTTATTCAATAGGTTTCTGCTCATATTCACCTTCTTGAATATATTAGTTTGGTACTATTTGCTTTTAGCGCTGCGCCTTTTTGATCTATTATTCGTTGAAGGTTTATTGGTACCTTTCGGTGTACAGCAGCTTTAAACTAGCGCTCCCTTTTATCCTATGCATTATTGCCCAAATATACAACTTATCTTCCTATTTGCCTCTGTAGAACCACCCAAGGCACACTGAAGTTGATATGCAAATAGTGGCTTTATCATGATTTCTGTTTCTATAGTCATAAGGGGAACCTGTAAGCCTTTCAGTTTTTCTCGAAGGCTTTTGAGCGTTAGGACATAGTGTTAACTCCAGCAACAGGCATTTTTTTAGTGTCTGCTATGTGATAGTGGTTTCTTGATCACCTGAGCATTTACATTTATTTCAGCCACCTTTTCTGTTTCATTGGATCTGAAGGTAATCTGAAGTTACACTTCCCAATTGCAGCAACTGCATTTCATCCTAATAAAGGGATTGATGGCCCAAGCTGTAGTTCTACTGGGGTTAATCACAAATTGAATTAATCTGTGCTCAGGATTACTTTGATACAATTACCTAGGCAAAATACGATTATACAATTCAGCATCTCCTATAGTCCTGGAATACCATTTTATGGAAAATTCCTAATTTCACAGTTTGGGCTATATTTAAAGATCATACTTTTTTTTTTATATAGCCTCCACCCAACCATGTTAGGTGATTATTATAACAAAAATGAAATGCATGATGCATTATTGGCAGTAGAATTCAGAATGCCTTACATAGAGAATTTCCCCTTAGGCTGCAGATCAGTTAATAGCAGGTAAGGGAAGTGGAGATGGGTGACATTTTTTTATTACAGAAAGTCTTTTGATCCCTTATGAAGAAACACCAATGCTCCCATTGAGTTCTATTACTGCATTTACCTATAAGTGGCTATTGAAAGAGAAAAGCTAAAACAAATTGTGCCTGGTAATACAAACTCTAGTAATAGGAGCATTACAAACTGACTTGTAGAGTAGAGGTTAACAAATGACAAGTAATAATTTATCTGGCAATAAAATCCTCCGCATCAGTTGCAGGGATATTTAGCATGCTTAAAAAGTTTGCAAAATCCATTTCAGTGAAGTAGAAACTGAGATGAGAAACGTTAGTCTCGTATGTCATTTATGACATAATCATTACAGTAAAAACGAGCAGATGCTGGGTATTTTCTTTACACTTGATTGTGTAATATGAGTTTGCTACATTTGATCGCTAAAAGACATTTCAAACACAATAAATGAACTGTACTTGAGTTGCTGGCTTTCTCTAGCATGATATATATTCAGCACAGACAGCGAAACATTCCCTACAATACAAAACAGCAAGAAAAAAAAAACAAAAACCTATAGTGCCATACCCTTCTATACTGGGGATTTTATTTCACATTGTTAGGGCTCGTTCACACTTGGCTGTTTTACCAGCGCTTGGCAAGCGTTGGTCCGGCGTTTGCGGAACGTTTTTTAACGCTCCGCAAACACCGCATGCGCGGTTTAGCAGAAGTTGCTAGGCGTTTGCCGAGTGTTAAAAACGCCCCACAAACGCCTATAATGCAGTTTGAATGGTGTTACCGCTCCGCAAACGCCCCGCAAACGCGTCAGAACCACACCACAAACGCCGGCCGGGCATTTGCGGAGCGGCACCATAGACTAGAATAGGAGGCTTCAACGCCTCCTGACTCGACCAGAGGCGTCTGTTTTGCCGCGACGCAAACGCTCCCGTTAGAACAGCACCATGTGCAGAATTGGCAGAGGCGTTTGGGAAGCGGTAAAAATGCTTCCCAAACGCCTCTCTGCTGCCTGCACACAACGCTAGTGTGAATGTAGCCTACGTGTTAAGCTGGGCTTTATGATGTTACTATTCATTACTTAAATTGGTTCTAAAGTCAAATGTTTTTTTTTTACTTTAATGCATTCTCACCATTAGGGTAAAAAAAAACTTTCACTAGCTGATACTTTTTCAAACTGCTACAGATTCTCCAGCTTCCATCTTGGCTGTCAAAAGGAGATGCATGGCTTCCCTTCAATACATAGTCAGGCTTTACTCTTCTGTTGTTTTATACCACTTCATCATTCATTGTCTCAGTTGCCCATCAGTTACAAAACACAAATGAGGGAACGTTTGCAAACTAGTGCACCATTTTGAAGGATGGTCTATATGCACTCACTGGCCACTTTTATTAGGTACGCCTTGCTAATGCCAAGAAAATATCCCCCACACCATTACACCAGCACCACCAGAGTGAACCATTGATACAAGGCAAGATGGATCCATTCTTTCATGTTGCTTACACCAAATTCTGACTCAACCATCTGAATGTTGCAGCAACCAGTCTGTCTATTCTCCTCTGACATCAACAAGGCATTTTTGTCCAACATAACTGCCGCTCGCTGGATATTTTCTTTTTTTCTAACCACTCTCTGTAAACTCTAGAGATGGTTGTGTTTTAAAAATCCCAGTAGATCAGCAGTTTTTCAAATACTCAGACCAGCCCGTCTGGCGCCAGCAACCATGCCATGTTCAAACTCACTTAAATCCCCTTTCTTCCCCATTCTGATGCTCAGTTTGAACTTCAAGTCGTCTTCACCATGTCTACATGCCTAAATGCATTGAGAGCACTTTGTTACCAAGCAGTTGAACAGGTGTACCTAATAAATTGGCCGATGAGTGTAAGTACAGGCACAATTATAGTACGCACACATTTACTCTGTCTGGCCAGTAAGTGGAGTTCTAGGACTCTTTTTCAACATGTTTACCAGGTTAACCTTCACTACCTTTACAGAGCTGAATAGCTGAAGCTGAAATTAAGAGCAAAACTTAAAACGTTTTGGAATGTCTCTGCTGAAGCTCAACCCTTCTTCTGTGTATATGTGCCCCCATGGAGATTTAATTAGGTGGTCACAAAAACAACTACTACAGGGTTATATCAGAAGAGCCGGGTGGAATATTTGATTTTACCGGGACCCATCTTCCTATGTTGACAGTATTGTACAGATTCTGCGTCGTCTCACATCTACAAGTTGGGATCAGGCAAAAAACAACCTGATGTTGATTATTGTCCATGCTATGGCCAAAATCTGTTACAGATTGAAGGTTGCGAACAGTGTTTGATTTCCAATATTTATGTCATGGTATCTTTAGGTGAAACAAGATGTATGATGCACCCAGGTGGAGAAACCTAGACACTGAACGTAGACTCCACCTGATTTAAATATAATAGGACTCCTTGTTTGTTCAGCATGCAGGTAGTGATGGAGCACTACTGGAATTTGAGGATATCCTTCAGCCCAATAATGGCAGTCAAACAGCCACCTATGAACAACCGCAGACAGAGGGAGATGAGGAACAACCTGCCAGCACAGAGCTGAGTAGAGGTTCAGGGGCAGAGCTCAGTGCTTCTGAAGAAGAGAATGAGGAGGAGGAAATACAGTTGGGAGATGATGAGCAGGTAGCTGATTTTGCCAGCTCCCTACTGGCAGTCATTCATTGCTGGCGCTATAGGGCCAAGACTTTGCTTGATACATGGGGCGTGCCTACGGTGAGGGTCTTTCAATTTCCTTTCTGTTTAATTGCCCCGGTGCCTCTTCTAATCTAAGTAATTAACTCTTCCATTGGTGACTGCTGTATAACTAATGCTTCTCATTAATAAACATGCACGGCTTTTTGGATAAAGAATATAATCGTTCATATTATAGTTTAGTGAAAATGCTGGAATAATACATTTGTATGTTGCAATGTTTGGCTTAATTGTCAGCTAACTGCATGGACTCCCTAACAGGCATGATATTCAGTGAATGCTACTTTTGATAAAGTATATTTAATTGTGTATGTTAGGAACATGTCCTTGTCTCGTATATATATGTATGTATGGAAACAATAGCTTGAATGGGAACTTGTTTTTTGTTTAATTCCTTGTAAATCACATAATGTATAAATCATAGCCAATGTTTTCTTTTCCAAGTAGCTTCCTGTTACTGTGATGGTTATATATAACCAATAAATAAACCCAAAGACCAATATTTAATATATTGCAGTTTACTAGTCCTTAGATGAGGTGGTTGCATTGGCTCGCTTTGCCTAACTTGAATTGTGTTTTTCACCTGGTAATCCTGTGATTAACACACATCCTGTCCGTAGATGGCTACGTTCATTCCACTTTGTGGAAGTTGTCACCCAGGCTAGATCATTACCACATCTGCCTTTGTTCATTTCCATTACATGGAGGACAGGGAAAAAAGTAGTTTACAGAACAAAGATAACATTGTATTTCCAGTTCAGCTCAGGGAAGTGACAAGAACACTGCATTTCTGGCAAAATCAAAGGGCATTTTCTATGCTTGCTGAAAATGTTCTTAGCCTGAAAAATGAAAAATAATGCAGGCGGCACATCTACAGACTTGTAAGCGGCAATTTATGAAATTTGTGTCTTTTAAATTTAGTTTACCTTTAATCCTTTTTTTCGTCTTCCTTGGCAGAGCTTGTCTAGGTCAGCCTCAGACACAGAAGTGGCAGTAACATCATGTCATCTGGTTTTTCTGTTTGCTTTCTAGAACAGAGAACATGTACAGCACGAGACTTCAAAAGGATTTAAGAGGCAGAATAGTCAATCCTCCTCTGGGAACCCAGAAAAAAGACGGAGCGTGGAGGTAACTGCATTTAGCGAGGAAGTGAGTGAATAATATTGGTATACTTTGAACATGTACTTGGCATCAAACTTAAAAGTAATGCCTAGTACACACAATGAGAAAGTCGGAAGAAAAAAACTGCTTTCGGTGTGATCGTCTGATAATCCGATTGTTAGTACACAGCTTTCGAGAGCCAATCACAACAGTTCATGCAAAATTACCCAAAGGGACAAGCATGAACATTTTTCTTGTACAATAACAACTATTTCATTTAATCAGTCCGTTTAAAAATAAAGTGACCAAAACCACGTATGCATGGAACTGAAAGAATACATTACAATACAACACATTACGTTACACCATCGAAGGAAGTTGTAGTCTGTCTTACGAGAATTTTCATACCTTTAGTAACCTATTTATTTTTGATATGAGGCTGGCATGCATAAAAAACGATGATAGATTGTCCGATATTCTCATCATGTGTTCGAGGCTTTAGATAATGCAGCTTCAGATTTCTCTATATTCCAGTAATGTTATCACATTACATACAGTCTATAGATCATTTTTTTTAAATGTTTAGGGTATTGGTGAAAGAACACCTTTTTTGATGGCCATCTTATCTGCCTGTTGGCAGCTTTGGTTACTGTTCAGCCATTAATACAATAACAGGCTAAGGAATTCTTGTGTAGACGTACCAAAAAAAGTCTGGAGATTGCAAATGAGTTTATTCACAAGTGTTAAAGAAGTAACCAACGTGTTTTAGGGGCCAGAGATTCCCTCTTCATCAGGCTTTGTATCAGAGGGGATTATTTACTAAAACTGGAGAGTGCAAAATCTGGTGCAGCTTTGCATAGAAACCAGTCGGCTCCCAAGTTTGTTTGTTTTTTTTGCCAGAGTTTAATTGCACAAGCTAAAGTTAGAAGCTGATTGGCTACATGCACAGCTCCACCAGATTCTAAGTGCCCCAGTTTTCGCAAATCCCCCTCAAAGCGTCAAATGGACTAAAAACATAAAAAGCACCTTGACAAATAAGTCTTATCCAGGCTTAGCTTTTGGAACTGTAGCAGTACTTTGTGTGTTGACTCATAGATAATCAATGCACTGCATTCAAATCCATAAAAAAACATTGTACTGATTTTTTTGTGGCCATGTGCAAGGATCTTTAAGTCATCCTGGAACTTGTAAGCCACATTTTCCAAGTATGTATAACATGCAGTGGGACTGCTTACTTTGGACCACAGGTGGCCTGCTTATTTGAATACAAGCTGAATAAGTACCAGCCAACAAACATTTTTATCATTTACAGTACAATTTGTGTTTTTCCATATTATTTTTTTCCATTCTGCCTTCATTTTTAGCTTGCTTTGAAGTATTTGTTGCTTGGCATTCTATCTACAAAATTGTCTTCTTTGTGTGCATAAATTATTATTAAATGAGGTATTTTATAACCATCTTTAATTTTTCAGGTCTTGGAAGAAATGGAAAAAGACCATTCTGAATCTGAAGAAGTTTATGTTGCGCATATGGTCAACTCTTCTGAAAATCCATTAGAAGCTCCTCTTGAACCTTCTAAAGAAATTGAGTCTGTAGAAGAAGATAGGGAAACAGATTCTGATATACATGACCCTCTGGACAATGGGGCAACTGAGAATTCAGAAGACTCAAAAACATTTAGTAGTGAGGAAGATGAAGAAGAAGCAGTAGTGCATGAGTCGACTAGCATTCTTCCACCATCTGTTTTAGATCAAGCTAGTGTGATTGCAGAGAGGTTTGTAAACAGCTTCTCTAGAAGGAGCAGCTTGGCTTTGGAGGACGGTAAAGTCATTGGTCATATAACTCCCAAGCTATCTAGCAGGAGCAGCAGTTTAATAAACCTGGATTGTACAGAAAAGATTCCCTATCCTAATGGGAACCCTGAATTTTCAGAATCCCACAAAGATGTCAATGGGGGTGTTGATGGGACAAACACAGAGACGAAGATCATCAAGGTTAATTCTGTAGAAAATGTGTTTGAGGAAAAAGAGAGATCTACATATAAACGAAGAGAGTCTATTCTCTCCTCCCAAGACAGGCAACTCATTGACAAGATTAAAACTTATTATGACAAGGCAGAGCATCAAGATGCATCTTTTAGTATCAAGCGTAGAGAAAGTTTGAGTTACATTCCTGCTGGGTTGGTTAGAAACTCTGTCTTTAAGATCAATAGTTTGCCAAGACTTGACCAGGGTAATTACACGAGGGAAAGAATGGGCAGCAATTCAAACGTTGGAGGTAGCAAGCCAGTTTCATGGGAGGATACTTCCAACCTTACCAGTAACCAAAGGGAAGCTAATGGGTTCACAAACCATACACAGCATCCAGGTCCAGCACTGAAGAACGGTATTTCAGAACAACCTGCACCAGTTTCTGATGAAGAATTTCAATCCCCAATAGAAATGATTAAAGTGTGGGAAGAAATTGAAAAGCAGGGTAGGTGGAATGAGAAAGCTGCCCATGAAGCAAGAAAAGCCCCGACAGAAATCTTAACCAGCCATGAAGACAAAACCGAGAATGATTTAGAATCTAATGAACCTCTAATAATAGTGGAGGAGAGTGATCTCAGTACCATTACAGAGGAATCCCAAACCCCGACACCAGAGGGCATAACCACTGAACACCTTACTGAGCCCACCAATATTATGGGCTTCAGTGATCAGGACTACAAGACTCCAGTCAAGCTTCATCCCTCAATTCTGGAGCTTGCCAACTGTATGGAGGAGGATTTCTCAGAGAAAATGAAGAATAAAGTCTATCAGCTGGCCAGACAGTACAGCCAAAGAATTAAGTGCAATAAGCCGGCTCCACACAGACGCCTGAGGGAGATAGAGGAGGACATTAGGAGGGGCAGCCTGCCGTCTGTACAGGAGGAAAAAGCTGAAGAGAAGTGTGAGTACTTTGCCAATACTGGGCCTGTGTCCATATCTAAACCTGTACCATTCTAGTTTATTTAATTGTTTAATGTCTTAAAAAAAATAGGAAAACAGTGTATGCTATCGCTTTATCAGTTCTATTTGCATTAATCAGGTTAATGCAGTTACGTAGTTAAAGTAGAACTATAGGCAAAACCTTTTTTTTTTCATTTCAGATAGAGCTAGGGAGGGTTATAACCCGTCAGATTTGTTTTGGCCATCTGTGTCTAATTGCGCAGATTTCCCTTCACTTCCTATCCTATAGCCAAACAGGAAGTGAGAGGATATCACTGCAAATTAGGGGAATTCTTTGGGACCCCCAGTTCACCGCATCTGGTGTCTCCATTGAAATATTTCTTCTTTTACTTTTCTGGGGACAACTAAAAATTTGGTGTTTCCTTTTACTTCCACCTTTAATGATAATAGGAAACAGGACAAATGGAGATAGTGAACCTCCCTAACGGGGGAGCAGACAGGCATTCTAATCCACCTCCATTCTATCTGAAACTAGAAAAAAAAAAAAGTTTTACCTTCAGTTATACTTTAAAAAAATAATAACACTTCTTTTAACCCCTTGGCACCGACCACCTCCCGGCCTTTTAAAGTGGTAGTAAACTGCGGCTTTAAACAAAAACAGAATTCCTCCAAAAGGCAATTGTATAATGTGCTAGTAAGCATTGCATACTAGCACAATATGACATCCTTACCTTAGAATGAAGCCCTCCAGCACTGTCACTGCTGACAGAGCTTCCATCATCACCGAGTCTTCCTTCCAGGGTCGCGGGCTGCGGCAGTTTGAATGGCCGAGCCGTGATAACGTCCCTCCTGCGTCACGGCACAATGCCCTGAAGGAACGGCGCGGGTATGCCATTCCTTCAGAGCCAATGTGCGAGCTGCCTAAAGTGCGAATATCTCCTAAAACGATGCATGTTTCGGAGATATTTAGTTTACCTATAGGTAAGTTTTTTATTATAAGCTTACTTTTAGGTAAAAATCACACGGTGGACTTTACTACTACTTTAAGAGTTCTAAAATCCAGCAGGTGGAGGCGGGCATTCGGGTTATGTGATTGGCTGTCACAGGGGTCACATAATCGGAAAGCTTCCTATCCCAAGTATGTATTGGGAGCTTACTGATTCCTGCTGCCTACCGTGCTGGGAGTGTACAGAGGGAGCGCTCTTAGCAGGGCAAGCTGTTTTAATGGGGCCGCATATATGTAGCCGCTCGGCGTTAAGGCCCACCCGCCGATCAGCTGCATATATGCGTACGGCTGGCGCCAAGAGGTTAAGCTATCCACAAAGAATTCCGTAACCTACTTGCTTTTTTAAAGATTTTTAACTTCACTATCACCAGCTTTTACATGCCAACTCTCTGCTTATGATAGAATACAAGATACCTGTGTTAATTAAATTATGATTTCCTAATAATTTGTGCTGCAGTGTGTGCACACTCCTCTAGAGAGAGCATGTATACCAGCAGTGCTATGTCTCACAATTGAGCCTTCCTTGGACTCTAAAGTAATAGTTTGCTGCTCTTGTGGATTCCCATGCATGAATTCCTTTTTACCAGCCAGCAACACAGCTTAGAATATGTGAAATGTAGTTACTGTGAGACAGTGTAAAGCTTTACATACAGCTATAGGGACATGCAAAAGGTGTCTGGTATAAACAAGGACAGCAATGGATCGCAGCAACCCAGGCTCCCAGAAGACAGGTACATGTGTTAATTAATAGCAGAGGTCCAAAGGCATCAGCAGACAGGCACTTTTAGTTTCTAGAACTACAGAGAAGTCAGGTGGGATCCACACAGCCACTTGCATATGGATCAGCAGTTCTGTACATGGGAGAGCCATTGCTCTAATGAGTCAGCGCATGCAAGTGATGAAAAATTAACACGTTTGCCTGCAGTCCACCTTTGTCTCAGCTTACTGGCTGAGGGATCTGCAAAAAGAATTCATATTTCATTTTAATTAAATGTTTCTTAAGTGTCTGGTTTTTAATGTTATCACCTACAGTGTTTTTAAACATAAGATTTTAAAGTGGTTCTAAAGGCTGAAGGTTTTAACCTGAGCCCAATCCAGAGATGTGCTCGAGAGCAGCGGCTCTCCTGGGTCCCTTCCTCCTCATTGGCTGAGACACAGCAGCGGGATCCATTGAGGAGGGGCGAGCTGAGCTGCGCTCTGTGTCTTGTGAACACGCAGAGGCAACTCGGGAGTGGGCACGCATGAGTGCTCCCAGAGCAAGCAGCTTTCTCTGGGGACACTCAGCAGGGGGAAAAAGCAGTTGGACTTGAGAAGAGGAGGATTGGGGCTGGTCTGTGCAAAGCTATTGCACAGGGCAGGTATGTGTGACATGTTAGTTTTTTGCTTTGTTTTTTTCTTAAAAGTTGAACCTTTACACTTACTATAAAATATTTATATTGTGTTTTTATATATTCTAGGCAAACTGAAGCCTGCATTGTTCCTTCCCACCTATGACCACATTGTACTGCAAGAGCACAGTCCGAAAACTCCCACATCTGCTTCTTATAGTGAGAAATCCCCCAAACGTTTATCGTTTACCCTAGACAGCCCCCAGACATCTTCCCCTGTAAGATCTGACTGCAAAAGCCCCCTGAGTCCAGTGAAGACAGAGAAGTTTCATTGGCCTGATGTCCGAGAGCTGAGATCTAGGTATGCCAGTTCAACAGGGAGCAACAAATCCCTTCCAGTGAACAGGAGCCTCTCTCTGCCTGACAAAATGATGGAGCGCAATGGGGACCATCCATCCGACACAGATAAAGAGGTGATGAGCCATTTATGCAACATGAATATGAAACACTCTAGCAGTGCAAATGGTATAGCTGATGAAACATGCTTTAGGCAAAGCAGCAGCTGAAGTTTTCAACATAAATGGAAAACTTGAGTCCTTTAAGAACAGCAAGAACTCTGGGCAATCTGTAGCTGATTGTTACTACATCAGTGCCGAAGCTCCCCTGGAAAACAACAAAAAAGTCATAGTTGTGGAGAAGTTTCCCTCCTATGAACTGGATAACGATGACACCTACGTTCATATAAGATCGCCTACCACACGAGAAAAAATCTCAATCAAAGCAGTGGTTGAGCGTTGTAAGGCGTACCAGGAGTCTGAGGAGTACAAGGCCAGGGAAGAGCTTTCAAGGGGCAACGGTTGTCTTGACTCTACACTTGAACAGTCCAAGCCAGAGGCACGACCTGCAACAAGCAGCGATGTGGCCCAGAAAAGCAGAGTCAAAAATCTAAGAGAGAAATTCCAGAACTCAACCACTACAAAACACTCGGAGCATCCATAGCATTCTTTTTATCAGACCATATTTCTTTTATAAGAGCTCAAAGAAGGCTTCCTTGGGGAAAGACATGGTTTTAGCCATGCTTTTCAGTGACCACTAAAAAAAAACTGATTTGCATAGATGGACTGTTAAACATATTTATATTCTGAACAGTGTTTTTCCTGTATATAATGTATTTTAACTGTCCTTGTTGTATTATGACTGGTGTATATTTGGTTTCAATACAAGACAGTAGATGAATTCTTAAAATAACTTTGTTATGCCTATCCCATTTATTTTATAATGAATGGGAACTGTGGTGCATATGTATAGATAACGCGGATTTCTTCATGAAACCCTCATACTCTATTTCACGTACTTGCACAATATTCATATTGAGACATACCCACCGGCACACTGAAAATTCCGTCAGCCTAGATTAGGGCTACTAAACAGAACTCCAGTCTTTGGGAGCTTCATACAAACAGTATTGAGGCACAAGTTTTACTATGTGAATTCCACTTTACATGGCTCATAATTTTTCTTAAATAATACTTAAGTGAATCTAAGGCTGAGGACTGAGCGATCAAACACCGCTGATTGCTCAGTTCTCCCCATACTCTGAGCAGAGAGCCAGCACTGTCAGGCTCTGGCTCACTGAAGCGCTGGGTTGTAGAAGGGGTGGGAGCGGCTGTCTCAGGCTCTTAGTGGATCGTTGAGAGGCTAAGCCAGGTGCCAGTCCAGGCTTCTGGGTGGATCCTGACTATATGGTTGCAATCTTTCCCCAGCCTGGACTGGCTCTGTGACATCAGCTGACAGCGGGTTACAGGAGTTCAGAACGAACTGTACTCATGTGATCCCAAAGGAGAAGTACTGCCAAACGAGCTTTGGCTGTACTTCTCCTTTTTTGGCCATACTTCTGTGGGTTACAGCAGTGCACTTAGTTCTACACTCCTGTGTCCCAGATTCAGCCAACAGTGGGCTAGGGTTTGCTGTCGGCTGACATCACCGAACCTGTCCAGGCTCTGCAAGGATCTTGACAATGTTAAAATCCGCCAAGATGCCTTACCGGCTTCTGGTTCCACCTGTCAGCGTGCCACTGAGAACCTGAGCCAGCCTTTCTTGCTTCCTCCACAGTCTGGAACTCCAGTGAGCCCTGGAAGGGTAAAGCACAGAGCGGCGACTGAAAGTCCTCGGTTTTCTGCTCTCTGGAGACCAAGAACTGAGTGATCAGCAGTCTTTGATCACTCAGTTCCCAGTTTAGAGCCAGCAGGGGACAGCTGCAGCATCAGATATATGCTGCAGTCATGTAGGTGAGTATGTATGTTTGTTTTTTGTAAACCTGCACTCTTTTAAGTTCTTTATTAACTGGAGTTGTGCAACCTGGTCTAGATAATCAAGGCTTATGTTACCACTTACACTGACAAGTCTTGAAGATAACATAAACCTAGATTTCTGTGTTATTTATTTGCCATCTATTTTATTATGTCATTGGATACACATGATTGTAATTATATCATTGTATTGTACACTCAGATCACTTTATAAATCTCTTTTCTTGAAATATATTATTGTAGACTGACTACGGATTAATTTGGTGTAAGATTTGTCCAAGGAATCTGTTTCAAGACAGAGCATTTCATTCTTAAACTTTCTTGCTGACAGCTGGTGATGGTGGATGTCAGGGGAGTGCCATCAATAACTTTGTCAGCAGTTTTTATATCTTTTATTTTTGTGCACATCACCCCCAAGCATCCCTCAGGTTTAAACTGGTATAAAAACCAAAGCCAAAAATTGAATATATTGCAATGTTCCAATCCTTAAATGTATTGGCTGCATTCTTTTTATTAGGGGATTATTTTCATCTGGTGATCTGGCCAGTAACACAATTCCTGTCTTAGGGTGGCTGTACTCCACTGGAGGCACAATGGAGACACCATTGGACAGCAGCTATGTCAGTCTCAGGAGGGCAGTATTAGATGCACTAGCACACTGTTTTTCACCCTTTGTTCAGTCAAGGCACCCTTTAAAATTCTTCACAATCTCAAGGTACTCCATTCTAAAATGCTAATGTGAACCCAGTGCTGACGGAGGGCGGTAAACAATGTTGCTGAGCAGGTGCCTGACATCCTCCTTATCAACCAATGACGTCATTGTTTGTTAGGATGCCGACAGCTGAAGGTTGTAATGGTGTACACTGAAAACCTTATAACTAAAAGTCCGGCTTCATCCATCTGCTGGCTTGTATACATTTTTTGGGCAATTTTTAGGCCTATTGCCAAGGCACCCCTGAAGAAACCTGAGGGCACCCTAGTTGAAAAAGGCTGCACTAGCAGATTTAGGTGGACTTGATGAAATAAATGTTTTACATAAATGAACAAAAGCTGACCATTGTAAGTTCTCGTCAGTGTTAAATACCGTATTTTTCGCTCCATAAGACGCACTTCCCCCCCCCCCCGCAGTCTCTGGTCATCCCCTGTACTATGTCCGCAGTCTCTGGTCATCCCCTGTACTGTCTGCAGTCTCTGGTCATCCCCTGTACTGTCTGCAGTCTCTGGTCATCCCCTGTACTGTCTGCAGTCTCTGGTCATCCCCTGTACTGTCTGCAGTCTCTGGTCATCCCCTGTACTGTCTGCAGTCTCTGGTCATCCCCTGTACTGTCTGCAGCCTCTGGTCATCCCCTGTACTGTCTGCAGCCTCTGGTCATCCCCTGTACTGTCTGCAGCCTCTGGTCATCCCCTGTACTGTCTGCAGTCTCTGGTCATCCCCTGTACTGTCTGCAGTCTCTGGTCATCCCCTTTACTGTCGGCAGTCTCTGGTCATCCCCTGTACTGTCTGCAGTCTCTGGTCATCCCCTGTACTGTCTGTAGTCTCTGGTCATCTCCTGTACTATGTCCGCAGTCTCTGGTCATCTCCTGTAGTATGTCTGCAGTCTCTGGTCATCTCCTGTAGTATGTCCGCAGTCTCTGGTCATCCCTTGTACTGTGTCCGCAGTCTCTGGTCATCCCCTGTACTGCGTCCGCAGTCTCTGGTCATCCCCTGTACTGTGTCCGCAGTCTCTGGTCATCCCCTGTACTGTGTCCGCAGTCTCTGGTCATCCCCTGTACTGTGTCCGCAGTCTCTGGTCATCTCCTGTACTGTGTCCGTAGTCTCTGGTCATCTACTGTAGTATGTCCGCAGTCTCTGGTCATCCCCTGTACTGTCTGCAGTCTCTGGTCATCCCCTGTACTGTCTGCAGTCTCTGGTCATCCCCTGTACTGTCTGCAGTCTCTGGTCATCCCCTGTACTGTCTGCAGTCTCTGGTCATCCCCTGTACTGTCTGCAGTCTCTGGTCATCCCCTGTACTGTCTGCAGTCTCTGGTCATCCCCTGTACTGTCTGCAGTCTCTGGTCATCGCCTGTACTGTCTGTAGTCTCTGGTCATCCCCTGTACTGTCTGCAGTCTCTGGTCATCCCCTGTACTGTCTGCAGTCTCTGGTCATCCCCTGTACTGTCTGCAGTCTCTGGTCATCCCCTTTACTGTCGGCAGTCTCTGGTCATCCCCTGTACTGTCTGCAGTCTCTGGTCATCTCCTGTAGTATGTCTGCAGTCTCTGGTCATCTCCTGTAGTATGTCTGCAGTCTCTGGTCATCCCTTGTACTGTGTCCGCAGTCTCTGGTCATCCCCTGTACTGTGTCCGCAGTCTCTGGTCATCCCCTGTACTGTGTCCGCAGTCTCTGGTCATCCCCTGTACTGTGTCTGCAGTCTCTGGTCATCCCCTGTACTGTGTCCGCAGTCTCTGGTCATCCCCTGTACTGTGTCCGCAGTCTCTGGTCATCCCCTGTACTGTGTCCGCAGTCTCTGGTCATCTGTACTGTGTCCGCAGTCTCTGGTCATCCCCTGTACTGTGTCCGCAGTCTCTGGTCATCTCCTGTACTGTGTCCGCAGTCTCTGGTCATCTCCTGTACTGTGTCCGCAGTCTCTGGTCATCCCTTGTACTGTGTCCGCAGTCTCTGGTCATCTCCTGTACTGTGTCCGCAGTCTCTGGTCATCCCCTGTACTGTGTCCGCAGTCTCTGGTCATCCCCTGTACTGTGTCCGCAGTCTCTGGTCATCCCCTGTACTGTGTCCGCAGTCTCTGGTCATCCCCTGTACTGTCTGCAGTCTCTGGTCATCCCCTGTACTGTCTGCAGTCTCTGGTCATCCCCTGTACTGTCTGCAGTCTCTGGTCATCGCCTGTACTGTCTGCAGCCTCTGGTCATCCCCTGTACTGTCTGCAGCCTCTGGTCATCCCCTGTACTGTCTGCAGCCTCTGGTCATCCCCTGTACTGTCTGCAGCCTCTGGTCATCCCCTGTACTGTCTTCAGTCTCTGGTCATCCCCTGTACTGTCTGCAGTCTCTGGTCATCCCCTGTACTGTCTGCAGTCTCTGGTCATCCCCTTTACTGTCGGCAGTCTCTGGTCATCCCCTGTACTGTCTGCAGTCTCTGGTCATCTCCTGTAGTATGTCTGCAGTCTCTGGTCATCTCCTGTAGTATGTCTGCAGTCTCTGGTCATCCCCTGTACTGTCTGCAGTCTCTGGTCATCCCCTGTACTGTCTGCAGTCTCTGGTCATCCCCTGTACTATGTCCGCAGTCTCTGGTCATCTCCTGTAGTATGTCCGCAGTCTCTGGTCATCTCCTGTAGTATGTCTGCAGTCTCTGGTCATCTCCTGTAGTATGTCCGCAGTCTCTGGTCATCCCTTGTACTGTGTCCGCAGTCTCTGGTCATCCCCTGTACTGTGTCCGCAGTCTCTGGTCATCCCCTGTACTGTGTCCGCAGTCTCTGGTCATCTCCTGTACTGTGTCCGCAGTCTCTGGTCATCTCCTGTACTGTGTCCGTAGTCTCTGGTCATCTACTGTAGTATGTCCGCAGTCTCTGGTCATCCCCTGTATTGTGTCCGCAGTCTCTGGTCATCCCCTGTACTGTGTCCGCAGTCTCTGGTCATCCCCTGTACTGTGTCCGCAGTCTCTGGTCATCTCCTGTACTGTGTCCGCAGTCTCTGGTCA